ATTTGGATTAGGTCTTATTTTCTTGTGTCTATAATATATAATCCGAATTGTGGTTTATCATTTATACATAATACAAAGACATTATACATAACGGCGAATAATATTGATGTTTTGATTATTTGAAAGTGTTTACGAACTTTTGGGACAACCTTGAATTCCACCTCATAAATAGGACTTCCGCTCGTCTTGTAAATAAAACCAAGAAGACCTAGGTCTCATGGAAGGACAACCTGGGTAGTTGGTGACTCCTGTACGTGGCTTCAGGAACCTGGGGGTTAACCAAATAAATACTAAAAAGACAAAGGTCGCCTCTCCCGTCAAAATAGACGTCAAAACTAGACGCCATCTATTGACCGTCTCCGCAAACTAGCGGCCTCGGGTCAGTGACAAAGCCAGAACATCAGCTTTGGAAAACTGAAAAGCGTCCACCTAGAGACCATGGTTTCAGGCTAATGGCCCTCGTCAGCCTAGGACGGACTTTGTCACCGACCCGAGGCCGCTAGTTTGCGGCGACGGTCAATAGATGGCGTCTAGTTTTGACGTCTATTTTGACGGAAGAGGCGATCTTTGTCTCTTTAGATCAATATCCTCCCGGCAAAATTTCCAAATAAATACTGTTAATTACAAAAGTAAGATTTTACGGATTAACACACAAAGTGCAATTTACTAGGGTAAAGTAAGAGTAACTTAACACAGAGAAAACAGTACACACAAGAGTACAACAACAACAATAAAAGGAGTTAAATAAAACTCACGATTTGTTATATAAAAACAAAACAGTACTTATCTTTATTGTAGTGTTGGTAGGGATCGGACCGGGGTCACACAGGTATGCGAGGAGATCACCAGACACGGATAAAGCACGCAGAGAACACTTTAAACGTCTCCACACAATAATCCACTACACTGGCCCTGCAAATTTTTGTCAATATAATTTGACATTGATAGCATGTGTGTGGCTAAAAATACAAGGTTCGATCAATAAATAATACACAATCGGTATTCACTTTTTTATTTTCAAACTAGAAAACTGAAACTGTATATAAGCACTCACAATAGTAATCTATATATTACAATCAATCAATATATCCATCTTCCTTCAGTACACATTTGATTTTTCTGGGCTCGAAAATTTCATACAGAAGCCCGTAAAACCATATTTTCTCTGTACACATTTGATCCAGTGTTATTGCCAATTTGAAAAATCACTTTGGTGGTGGTGGTGTCTTGTCCATGGAGCAGATCGGTCCGTGCACCCTGATCACAATACCGGCCAACTGAGATGGTGGTGGTGTCTTGTCCATGTAGCAGATCAGATAGGTCCGTGCACCCTGATCACAATACCGGCCAACTGAGATGGTGGTGGTGTCTTGTCCATGTAGCAGATCAGATCGGTCCGTGCACCCTGATCACAATACCGGCCAACTGAGATGGTGGTGGTGTCTTGTCCATGGAGCAGATCAGATCGGTCCGTGCACCCTGATCACAATACCGGTCAACTGAGGTGGTGGTGTCTTGTCCATGTAGCAGATCAGATCGGTCCGTGCACCCTGATCACAATACCGGCCAACTGAGATGGTGGTGGTGTCTTGTCCATGTAGCAGATCAGATCGGTCCGTGCACCCTGATCACAATACCGGCCAACTGAGATGGTGGTGGTGTCTTGTCCATGTAGCAGATCAGATCGGTCCGTGCACCCTGATCATAATACCGGCCAACTGAGATGGTGGTGGTGTCTTGTCCATGGAGCAGATCAGATCGGTCCGTGTACCCTGATCACAATACCGGTCAACTGAGGTGGTGGTGTCTTGTCCATGGAGCAGATCAGATCGGTCCATGCACCCTGATCACAATACCGGCCAACTGAGGTGGTGGTGGTGTCTTGTCCATGGAGCAGATCAGATCGGTCCGTGCACCCTGATCATAATATCTGCCAACAAAGGTGCCTTGTTCGTGTGGATGTCCTCTACTGGATTGATGTCTTCCATATAGGCTGCAAGGATGGCCGGGCCTGCCCAGAAGTTCAACCTCTCCTCTACGTGACGGGCGGGAGAAACACCACAAGTAAGGGACTGCCCTGTAGGGCGAAGTACAGTGACGACTTCGTGAACTCTGAGCCGCTATGGTAACCGTGAACAGGGAACTCTGAAATGTGGCTGACTAACGGGGCAATGGTACCCCCCATTCCAAGGAGAAACAAAAAAGCACTTTGGTAAAGCGCCTTATCCAACTCTTTGAACTACCTTCTAACAGCTTGGAGTAAAATTGCTTCACTTTCAAATGTTTTACTACGTAAAAAACGTTTCAATTTTCCAAACAAGTAGAAGTCTGAGAATGCCAGGTCAAGACTGTACGCAGGGTGAGGCATCAAAGTCCACCCATACCCCGCAATCTTCACCAAGTCAGGTGTGAGGTCTCGCATTATCCTGATTAAATTTGATAAGGGTGTTTTTTAAGTTGGGTCTTTTTGTTTAATTTGTTCTTTTTTAGTTTTTTCTAATGGTTTACAATAGCATTTTCCTTGTTGATAGAAGGATTTCTTTCAAGAATGTCCATGAATATCAGTCCTACTTGGTCCCAAAAAACAAAGATCATGATTTTGTTCTTGGAAAGGGAAAGTCTTGATTTTTTTTTACTGGCGATGTTTTATGGGTCCATTGTATTGATTAGCGCTTTGAAGAAGGATCATATTGATAAATCCAAATCTTATCACTTGTTATCACAACTTTAAACACCCGAGAAGGTTCTCCAGCATAAGTCTCCAGAAGTTTAAAAATCTCTTTCTGAATTTGCATCATTTGACATGTTTTGGCACCCATTTTAAACATAATTTTCGATATCCAAGATAAATAATAAGTTTAAGAACATTTTCTTTAGACAGGTAAAGTTTTTCTATTATTTGATAAGAGGTCAGTGTCCGGTTATTCTTGTTCAATTCCTCCGTTAGAGCCAATTTTGGTCCTTCAGTACAGAAATTGGTCTACCTGGCCTTACCTTACCAATAATATCAAAACCACCAGTCTGGAAGCGCTTGCATTGTACTTCTATCCATGGCTTCGTTTCCATACACAGACTTTAGCTTCGAGTGAATGACAGAGGCTGAAATGTCTCCGGACTTAAACAGGAACTCCATCACCGACCGTTGTCGGATTCTTGGGTTTACTTCAAACTGCATATCTGAAAAATACAAAATATGTCTCAATTCCGTTTGCAGATATGAAAAGAGGAATGTTTATTTAACCAGAAATAATTACTTTATGGTTTAAAATTAAATATTTTTCTATAGTTCATTGTGAATTACTCTTGTGAATTGACCTTGTAAATTAAAATTTATCAGAAATATGTTTGCTTTTACTACGCAACAACTAAAATGACAAAATAATTTCAAATCATTAAAATTTCCTTTTGCCATATCGTTGCTAAAAATAGAAGTGTGTAGTATCAAAAAAATAGTATTTGGTGATAAACGCATTTATTCTAGTAGCATTGCCAAAGAGAAATATCTTTTATCAAAATTCGAAACTATTTTAAAGGCGTATGATTCTTTTTGAAAATAAACAATTTCTACTGCCCTTACTGCAATGGAAAAATTAATGGGATAACAGATGGCGCGCTAGTTCATCATATTAGAAATATCTTTATTTGAAATTAGCTTGTCGAATTTAGATTACGTTCTGCGTAGTTTATATTGAATTCAGAGAAAAACAGCCATATCAATCAATAGCTTATTTCTCTTCCCCTGAAGACAGCAGGTCACTGAAACATCAGGAGTTAAATAAACCATTAGTTGATGTGTTTTTCTCTGAATCTACTTCCAACCAACAAATGACCTTCAGAAATATCTTGTATTGTAACTCTCTTTTGATGTAGCCAGGATTCCTGGAGCGTTCTTGTATAGTTTTTCTTGTATATTTAAAAAATCTATGTTTTAATATCGCTATCACAACAGTTTTCCAGGAACCTGGGTGATGTCAACTTGCTCAGGTATATTTCAGCCATGTTTTGTTAGCACGCCTAATCACACCAATCAAATTTGGAGCAAATACAGCCACATCAATTTATTTAAATCTCGACGTTTCAGTGATTTTTGTTCTTTTCCAAAATCACTTTATTAGAATTATAATACCATATAATGCGGCTTATGATTGTAAAACGACATTTTAAAATTATCCCGCATGTGTTTATTTTGAATGAAAAGTCTAAAATTATTTTAAGGAGAAATAACTGTGGGTTCGAATCCCATCCCTGGACACTTTCAATTTTCCGTTTATCATTACTCTTCACAATTCATCCTTTCAAAACAACAAAAGCTATCGATAAGGCACAATTTAGATTATAGATTATAAACACAAGGTAATAAGACCAAATCCAAATAAATAAATAGTGTGTGACGTTTCGGTAACAGCGTTTTTACCATCTTCAGACAAAAGTACCGAAGTTACCGAAACGTCACACACTATTTATTTATTTGGATTTGGTCTTATTACCTTGTGTTTAACAAAAGCTATCTTTATTAGGTCATCTAAACGTCGTAGATTTATCCTTTCATACTTCATCCCTAAGGTTAGAAATAATCGTTATTTCTCCTTAAAATAATTTTCGATTTTTCATTCAAAAGAAACACATGCGGGATAATTTTCAAATGTCGTTTTACTTTATTAGGTACCGCTCAAAAAGAGCAACCTAGTTTATAATAATTGTAACAATGAATAATATATGAAGGTTATTCACATACTAGAAGAATGACCCGGCTTCGCCCGAGAAATCCCCCGAGTGAAGTATCCTTCATACTGAAAGTACATCAATAATAAATAGTAGAAGTGCCATAGAATAGCAATACAGAAGAAACACATAAACTACAGGAAAAAAAGTGTGTAATGGCAAAAATTGTATTATATTAGTGTTTAGGTATTTGATTTAATTATTTTTTGCAATCCATTTAGTTGTTGCAAAATTAATATAGTTTAAATAAATGAGTTTTAAAAATTGTAAAAAAAAAATGCATCGGCCGGGAATCGAACCCCGCGTGGCAGGCGAGCATTCTCGCCATTGAACTACCGATGCTTATAAGAAATGGCCATATTTGGGTATTTATTCCATTCACAAAAGCAAACGGTGATAGAATTGATTAAGAATGGTTGATGACTCTGATACTTGTATATTTTAATTAAACAAAAAGTTAAGGCGGGATTCGATCCCGGTTCATGGCTATCGGGAATCGAGGGTGTTACCCACTGGTCCACCGACTTCTTGTCTCAATTACTCGCTATCTCTCTACCCAGGGGAATTTATTAGGTATCGCTCAAAAAGAGCAATTTAGCTTATGTTATTTAAAATGGATAATATTGTTTTGAAAATAGATCAATCCATACTTAATTCATCTACTTATATAATTGCCTTATATAATTGTAACAAATAGTATTTGAATCAAAACATTCAATCGGGTAAAACACGGGCGTTGCCCGGGTCATTCGGCTAGTTAGATAATAAAAGGCATATATTAAATTTAATAAAATATTTATTTTGCCAATAATTTTTTCATGCACAAATTTCTCCCACCTACTCTGTATTTTAATTGATTTCAACTGTGATATTATAACACTATGCGGCGCTGAGTTTGTGTATACAAAAATGTAATGCCTTGATGCATGCATATACGCTTTGGTCTTTAATTAAAGACGCTGTTTGGGTTGAAATACTATTTGTTTTAAAGTTTTGGCATTTTTTATGCCTTGTAAAGCTTTGTGTTAACCAAGATAAGAACGACAAGTAAACATCCAATCTTTAAAGTGATAGTAAAATGGACAATTTTGAGTCTCAAATTTGATTTTTTTTTAAAGTACAAGGTCTGATTAATAAGATTCATAAATCCTTTTTTTGGTGGTATATACTTTATTTAGAATGGTCTGAAACAGAACAAGCTATTCAATCTGTTGGGAAAAATTATAGATTCGCAGAAGAAGAGAGAGATCCTTTATTACGTAAAGGTATAAAACAATAAAAGAAGGACAAAGAGATCAAATTATATGTACATCAGCAGCTGGCCTGTCCTATCCAATAACCACTATCCAACTTACAATCCAACAAAGCTGGGATATATAGACAGAGATGTCAATTAACATAAACAATACAACAACAACAAACAAAAAAGCCTTTATTTAGGGTCACTGACCCTATACAGGATTCACCAGAGGTATGCATAAGAACAAAGCAGTGAGACAACGGAAATAGCGATATATACAGAGTAAAAAGAGAAAGAAAAAAAAAAAAAAAAAAAAACAAGAAAAGGAAAAAAAAAAAAATAATAATAAGAAAGAGGGAAGCAAGAAATCAACACAAAAAGAGTAGCAGTAAGAAAGTGAGGAGTGAGTATCACTTGGCCTTCTTCTGAGATATGGACTTGTAATGCCTTGATAAAGGTTGGCGTTCAGCCAGCCGAAATATTGGCATTTATTAAATACAATATATGCCTTTTATTATCTAATTTTTTTTTGTATTTATATATAAATAAAATTAACTCTGTTGATTTTTTTTTTGTATATAATCGATAACAGCAAAGTTATGTATTTTAAAGTTAGGAAAAATATTTTGATGTTAAGCAAAACCTGCTCCATCTCGTTTTACATAAATGTTGAAAATTTGGTCGAAATTGATGCATTGTAACGAAAGTTTTTAGCGAACACCACTTATGAAATTTGCATTTTATTAATATAGATGGATAATATGGACAGGTTCTTCACAGAAACATTTTGCAATGCGGGATTCGATTCCGGTTCATGGCTGTCGGGAATCGAGGGTTTTAACCATTCGTCCACCGACTTCTTTCAGTGATTAAAAGTCTAACTAAAGAATAATGTGAAAAATAATACAAAAATGAAATTGTACTTGGATCAGGTGGATAAATTAGGAAAAATAACATTTTATGATCGTGCAGCAAAAAGTTTCTGATGGTTTGTGCCATCTATCAGAATAAATATCAACTAAATCAAGAAAGGGCATTCGTCTATTTATGATGGAATAATTAAAAATCAACGATTAGTTGATATTTATTCCGATAGATGGCGCAAGGCATCAGTAACTTTTAGTTTCACGATCAGGAGATGCCTTTTTTTTACAGAAGATTGGTTTCCAATATATAAAAATAACACAAAAATCGTTATTTTTGAATAGACTATATGTTTAACTACAAGTGAAATATTTCTTAATCATTGATGTTGAAGTTTTGGATAGTTGAAAGAACATTGATTAGATTTTATCCTTTTTTAACTGTACGACGTGAGTCTTTGATGAGAGAGAGAAAATAGAGGTGACCATGAAGCGTTAATCACCAACTACCCGGGATGTACAGCCACAGTCTGGAAGTGAGTTCTAGTCATGGGGAGATCTACACCAGGTAGTTCAAGTCGGCAGTAAAGTCAGGAAGTAGGGCTGAAGTCTTGTACTCCAGGTAGTGTTTGTAGCCTCTTGTGTAATATAAAAGCTGGACAGAAGAAGAAGTGGTCTACAGTTTGTAGTTCTTCCCGGTATTGAGTCAGGAAGTAGAGTCAGTACTGAAGTCTTGTACTCCAAGTAGTGTTTGTAGACTCCTGTGTAGTACAAAAGCTGGACAGAAGAAGAAGTGGTCTACAGTTTGTAGTTCTTCCCGGTATTGAGTCAGGAAGTAGAGGCAGGACTGAAGTATTGTACTCCAAGTAGTGTTTGTAGACTCCTGTGTAGTACAAAAGCTGGACAGAAGAAGAGGAGGTGGTCTACAGTTTGTGACTCTTCCCGGCAGTGAGTCAGGAAGTAGAGTCAGTACTGAAGTCTTGTACTCCAAGTAGTGTTTGTAGACTCCTGTGTAGTACAAAAGCTGGACAGAAGAAGAAGTGGTCTACAGTTTGTAGTTCTTCCCGGTATTGAGTCAGGAAGTAGAGGCAGGACTGAAGTATTGTACTCCAAGTAGTGTTTGTAGACTCCTGTGTAGTACAAAAGCTGGACAGAAGAAGAGGAGGTGGTCTACAGTTTGTAGTTCTTCTCGGCAGTGAGTCAGGAAGTAGAGTCAGGACTGAAGTCTTGTACTCCAAGTAGTGTTTGTAGACTCCTGTGTAGTACAAAAGCTGGACAGAAGAAGAAGTGGTCTACAGTTTGTAGTTCTTCCCGGTATTGAGTCAGGAAGTAGAGTCAGGACTGAAGTCTTGTACTCCAAGTAGTGTTTGTAGACTCCTGTGTAGTACAAAAGCTGGACAGAAGAAGAGAAGGTGGTCTACAGTTTGTAGTTCTTTCAGGCAGTAAGTCAGGAAGTAGAGTCAGGACTGAAGTCTTGTACTCCAAGTAGTGTTTGTAGACTCCTGTGTAGTACAAAAGCTGGACAGAAGAAGAGAAGGTGGTCTACAGTTTGTAGTTCTTTCAGGCAGTAAGTCAGGAAGTAGAGTCAGGACTGAAGTCTTGTACTCCAAGTAGTGTTTGTAGACTCCTGTGTAGTACAAAAGCTGGACAGAAGAAGAGAAGGTGGTCTACAGTTTGTAGTTCTTTCAGGCAGTAAGTCAGGAAGTAGAGTCAGGACTGAAGTCTTGTACTCCAAGTAGTGTTTGTAGACTCCTGTGTAGTACAAAAGCTGGACAGAAGAAGAGAAGGTGGTCTACAGTTTGTAGTTCTTTCAGGCAGTAAGTCAGGAAGTAGAGTCAGGACTGAAGTCTTGTACTCCAAGTAGTGTTTGTAGACTCCCGTGTAGTACAAAAGCTGGACAGAATAAGAAAGGGTGGTCTACAGTTTGTAGTTCTTCCCGGCAGTGAGTCAGGAAGTAGAGTCAGGACTTAAGTCTTGTACTCCAAGTAGTGTTTGTAGCCTCTTGTGTAGTACAAAAGCTGGACAGAAGAAGAGAAGGTGGTCTACAGTTTGTAGTTCTTTCAGGCAGTAAGTCAGGAAGTAGAGTCAGGACTGAAGTCTTGTACTCCAAGTAGTGTTTGTAGACTCCTGTGTAGTACAAAAGCTGGGCAGAAGAAGAGGAGATGGTCTACAGTTTGTAGTTCTTCCCGGCAGTAAGTCAGAAAGTAGAGGCAGGACTGAAGTATTGTACTCCAAGTAGTGTTTGTAGACTCCCGTGTAGTACAAAAGCTGGACAGAATAAGAGAAGGTGGTCTACAGTTTGTAGTTCTTCCCGGCAGTAAGTCAGGAACTAGAGTCAGGACTGAAGTCTTGTACTCCAAGTAGTGTTTGTAGACTCCTGTGTAGTACAAAAGCTGGACAGAAGAAGAAGTGGTCTACAGTTTGTAGTTCTTCCCGGCAGTAAGTCAGGAAGTAGAGTCAGGACTGAAGTCTTGTACTCCAAGTAGTGTTTGTAGACTCCTGTGTAGTACAAAAGCTGGACAGAAGAAGAGAAGGTGGTCTACAGTTTGTAGTTCTTTCAGGCAGTAAGTCAGAAAGTAGAGGCAGGACTGAAGTCTTGTACTCCAAGTAGTGTTTGTAGACTCCTGTGTAGTACAAAAGCTGGACAGAAGAAGAGGAGGTGGTCTACAGTTTGTGACTCTTCCCGGCAGTGAGGGGACATATTGGATCTAGATCTCTATGCCAGAGATCTGCCAGAACGTGACCAGTTAAAGATGGTAGTGGTAGCCATTTCAAGACGAATTTTGGACAGGAAAGTTGCTGAAATGATGTTGCTAAAAAAATTAGGTTTTGAGGTCTTTTTTACGTTGTCAACAAAGCGAGTTAGCACGACCGTGTTGTTGGGGGTATGCAAATATCCTTATCAGTGGTCCATCACGCGGAACAGTATCACTATGGAAATTTATAAATTAACATTGATAGATAGAAAAACAATAGTAGAAACTAAACTGGCGAAACCACTTGGAAGATTCACCACTGATGAATCACGCCTTCCTGTTTTAATTTTTATTATTGGAATATAAAAGAGGTTCTCTATTGAAAAATAGTTTTTATTTATTAAAAAATGTATCAGTCAAAAGCTTATCTCAATTTCTAGCGATAGAGGGCGCTTAAAAGATAACAACTATGCAAATATGTGTTTGTTGTTTACCGTACAGTAGCTAGGAGTCACAAGAGAGATGAGAAAATGAAGAAATCTC